CAAGTTACAAGAATACTAACATATTTTATAGAAAATTACAAGTAATTAATAATTTAACTTTTTGTTTCGTAATCTTACTAATATTATAAATACGAAAGATTAGATGGATGGATGTTTGTTAGAGTTTGTAGAATAAACATCTGAACGGATCTCGGTGAAATTTGGCGTAAATGTAGAGTATATCTGGAAGGGCATATAGGATACTTACTTTTTTTTAATTCCACGTGGACGAAGTCGCGGGCAAAAGCTAGTTTTTTTAATAAATGGCGCCGAAATATTAAATATGGCGGCCGTAGTTTTTTAATAAATGGCGCTAAAATATTAATTATGGCGGCCGTAAACCAAAGGTAATCAATTTTCAAGTCAACGAATTATAACAAGACGCATGCGAGCTTGTTACGGAACATTATGAAGCACTTACACGTCTAAAATAATGTTTAAATGATATTTTAAGAACATCTATCAAAATTATGAGCACGTAAAACGTAGCCTTTAGGTTATTTACCGTTATAATTAAGAATTGCCTTAAAAATAACAAGCCATCGGTCTTATTCAGTCCGTTAAATACAAATTATCACTTAACACACATTTTCATAAGTAGAATATAGTAATTAAAACTGTACGTAATATATTATTGTTGTCAGCATTGTGATATATTAAAAGTAAGTTTTTTAATTGGAATATTTGAATAGAAGGGTCTATTTACGTGTTTTATTTTCGTATTAATTAACTAGCTGTTCCCGTGCGGCTTCATCCGCATCAAATATTTTATTGTTTACATTTGTCAAATTATCAATAGCAAATGTCAAAATGACATGACATGACAAACCTTGATAACCTTGCTTCCTTGATGTTGGCAGCAACTTACGGTCTCTTTCTCACATTTAGGTTTTTATACAAATTATTTACCCCCTAAGTTTAATAAAGTGAAAATATATAGCCTAAAGCGTGACGTAAGTTTAGGGCTTTTTATTAAAGAATGATTCAAGAATATGCTGTAATTGCTGACATCTTAGGCAACAAAGAAGTGTGCGTTTATGCTTTATTATAATAGTATAGAAAAGTATATAAGTATACAAAGGTATAGATTGACAATCTTTCCTTTTTTTCTTGTCAAAAATAATGGCAATCACATTACCATAGCAATGATATAACTTTTATTTTATTAACTTTGCTAATTAACCCTTTTCTTGTTAGTGTATCTGTAAAGATAAATCAATTTTTTTTTCTAAACACCTTTGGTCATCAAGGTTAAGTGCTATGAATATTATTATGATATTCGAAAAAATAAAATTCTGCCAAGTTAAGGGTTAAAATTGTAGCAACTCTAATTTTCTTAATCTTCAGAGTATTTGTAGCTTTGAGAATATAAAAAAAACTATTGCGCGCCACTTCGTCTGCTTGTAATTAAAAATAATATAATGTAACCTAAGTTACTCAGTGATAACGTATCTTTTTAATGGTGAAAGCATATTTGATATCTGTTCAATAGTTTTTAAATTATTTCAATACATATAAAAATGCAAATGTACAAATCTTTCCTATTCATACATTAGTATAGATATTAACTTATTAAAACCGTCGCGACGCGATAACGAGTATACCCGATTAATCACTCACCCTGAAGAAGGACCCCCAACGGGTTCGAAACTGTCGGTGCCTACACCGAATGTTATCACGTGAGTTTAGCCGTGTTATAATTTATGTAATATAGACATGTAACGTATTAATCAAGAAATCGTTGAACTATAAAAAATTAATTTAATGACTATTGGTATAGTAAAACCTGTAAGTCCTGCGATAGGCTGGTATTAATCAACTCTGGTAGTTTTATCGGAAACTAATTATAATCAAGATTTTTACACTCGAGTGTTAATTAGTTTCTATTTAATAATAATGACTGAGAAAGGATTAAACAGCATAATAAAGTATTTTTAAAAGATTCCTTAAGGAAATATTAAAAATCCCAATTACTTTTAAATATTTAATAATATATTAACTAACTAAATATTTATTTGTAAATTAATAGTTTTAGCTTGTCCTAATATTCGAAATTTCGTTTAAATAAGACAAACAATCAAAGCGATCAACACGTTTATTGCGTAACAGGCCGATATCGACCTGACGCGGAACTTAAGGTGGTGCGGACGTAGAAAACTAAGCCCCTCTCTTTAGTGCGAAACGATTATTTCAGGCGTATACATTACATTAGATAAAACGTATGCATTATGTTTTGAGCAATTTAATCTATCCTAATGCTGGGGGTCTAAAAAGACCTGCCATACATACGGAAATATCATTGGGGGCGCATTATGGCCCGCCGCTGCACCAGTCAGAATTACGATTGTACTTATAAAAATCCTATAAGATGCTTATTAAAACAAACGCATGAAATTTACACAAGTTTAACGGACTCAAACAAAATATTCCTCCAATAAATATTCAATTCGTTACACAAACTGACTGACATATCGTTGTTATGTATATTAATACGTTCTCATAAAAGCCATTTCCTCTATTGCGAGACACGGAGCTGATTGATGCGTTGGTACTTACACGGTTTACGCTTCATGTATGCAACTACGTATAATTAAGAATCTATTCGAATTTTAAATGGAAACAATTAAAATAATAATTCTATAGACTGCTCAATATATTTACTGTCATTAAATGTCTTTTATTGTGTAAATAAGGAAATAAGTAAATAACAGTTCAGTTAGAACCGTATTTTTTAATTATAAGAGCAGGGGCACATCTTTGTCTAAACTATAGGACAACGGTTATGCGATTGTCGATTGTTTCGCAACCAATATAACTATTTAGTTGCACAAAAATCGAGTAGTTTGCGACCACTATATAAGCTTATAGGAAACAAAGCGAAATTAATTAGTTGTGCGATAGTTGAGTCTAAGATGATCACTATATTCTTTTATGCATCTCGCCAACATCGTATGTAATTTCCTACATATCCGGTAGAATATTAAGAGGTGAGTCTTCATTAAGATTCACCCAACACTGGCGGATAAAATCGCGTATGTTAATATCGTATAAACATGCAAAACAAATCCTAATACAAATCTCGGAACCAACTGGACGATGCCGACGTATTTAAATAAAATGTATCTTGATTTAACTGATAGTTGTAATATGTAGATATCCCGGTTGTGCATATTAAAATTCTTCTAACGTTTACTGAGAACTTTCTAGAAGTAACTATTTTAAATAGTGCATATGTACAAGTTCTTAAATCAATTAGAGAAGTCTAGGTATGACAAGCGATTTTTTAAGTCACATAATATACTAAATCATTTATATATAACAAAATTGTAGTGTCTGTTTGTACCAAAAGAAAAAATCACGATTTCGGCAAAATGAAGAAATGATGTATATATGTTGCTAATAACGAAAATCGCATTTAAATTTTTTTGTCTGTCTGTCTGTCCTATTACTTGCTTACATTATTTATATCTTAAAACACATATATACTTTTGTATTTGTTTACTAAAAATTAAAAAAATTAGAAAAATATTCTGTTTTACGCAACATGCAACAGTAAATAAAAAGGTTAAAACATTTAATCAACGTTTATTCATACATAAACAGGAAAATAGAATACAAAAAGATCACAAAGGACAGCATCCGATTTAAATCAACAAATCAATGCCAAGTGACATTTAAAAGTCACTTGAATGAAACTAATTTCCCGGATTTGAGCGAATTAAAACAATTTAAGTGGTCAACGTTAACTAGTACTTAGTACATGGTCATGTTACACACATCCGTTAATTAACTTTAAAGGTTACAAAAACAAACAAATGTTGACACATGTTAAAATTACGTTCGTATGAACTTCAATTTATAATCAACTAGCTGTTGCTTGCGATTTCACCCGCGTGAAATTAAAAAAATATAAAAATCGTAGCGTAAATCATTCCTCTTTACAATATTATTTGGTATAGATAGTATAGAAAAATTAAATTTACTACCCACATCGAATATGGTACAGAAAACTGCAATCAATGGAGTTACAATTTAGTACATAACTTGCTATGATAACTTTTGATTGCATTGCGAGCGAGGAATTTTTTACCGCTGGGTAGGAAATAAACTTCCTCGACTGTTTACTCTACACAACGGTGAGTACGCTAATTAAAAGTATACTCACGCGTTCGTCTTCCCCTCACACTTATCTCCCGATCTGTAACAGATAAGAGTAAATTAACAATGGCCTATTAGAAAATGAATAATTCGGTGTAAAAGATGACGAAAACGTGATATAAAAGTTATTATTAGATTAACACGTGTTAGTGATATGAAAAAGGCGTTTATTCCATTATTTAGCGCGCGTAATTCACACAATGCACCGCCCTAAATTACCTACACTAACGCATTTATGAAATAACCTTGTCCCTGTAATTACACCTACATGGTTAGTTTCTATTTCCATTTACTGGATAAGTAAATATTTATTACATTATACATTTTGCGTCTTTTAATTTATTTCAATAATCATCTGTTAAGTATTTCAATTTTACTGGCTCAGCTTACTACCGACGCAGCTGTACGATTGTGCCAGCTCCTAAAAAAGATTAAAAAAAGTAATTCAATGGTTAATTAAGCAGGACGTTAGTGTATCTTTCTCATACTTAATCTACATTTAGGGATTCTCTTAGTGATTTATTGACATGCGTGAAGCAATAAGACAGTTATTACAAAATGAATAATGATCTAAGACCATATCGGCTTTGGAAGCACTAGAAACTTTAAGACCCCAATATTGAACAAATAAACACTTTTAAACATGAAAAAGCCAGGGTCGTTGCTTTCAAGTGTGTTTTTCTTTATAATTTAACTAAACAATCTTAATCGAGATACTTAACATTGACAGTGTGGTTTTATAAACAAAAATTATTCATACCAAAGCGAAGGTTTAATTGCCTCCATTTAATTGGACGTCAGTGAGAAGTGGCTATAAAATGTACTCGTTAACTTGTCAATAATAATATTATGCAATTAGAATAATCAAAATATCACGCAAGAGATCCGGGTTTATTTTTTAGAGCAATTATTACTGCCGTTATTGCTGAAATGTTAATGCAAATAAAATCATATTGATAACAACGCCATCTTTTGTGTTTAATGTGAAAACAGCTTGATAATAGCGCCATCTATGGTATTTACAGTAACACTGCTAGTACGAAATCTGTTCACAATGCAACTATTATCATTATAATATTTTATAGGAATATATCTTAATTATAATTTAAGAGGAAAAAATATAGATAGACATAAAATGTTCTCTCTACATTATATTACATTTATGATATTGATACTTGATACTGAAGTATTAATTAAAATACTAATTAACTTCAACAATATAGCAAATCGTGTTTACAATTTGATGCGTGAAGGCCACTCAGCGGTTACTGAACGATATTTCCGGTCTTTTTTTCTTTTTTTTTCATTAGCAGTGAAAGTAACTCTCTCAGTAATGCACAATTTACTGTTCAACATGATGTTAATATTCTTATTACATTACCGCAAATTAACTGGCAAGTTGTTATAGTTACGAGGGGAAATTGAGTTGAGTGTGAAAACGTATCTAATTAGTTCTATTAAGCTTTCATCTATACATATAATAAAATTGATATGTCTGTGTGTATCGAGCGAAAAACATATTTGTGTTACTGATAACGATTTTTCCGTGTAATCTTTAAAACTGCGGGGCCAATTTTAACAGGACTTTTACGGCAAATTGTTGTGGAAATATTATAGGATACTTTGTTTATCGTCGCTTGTAACCGCTAGTGTTAAATAAAAAGCTGTTAATTTTGTTTACTGCTACGACGTGTGAAGACTTATAAAGAGATTATTATGTAAATGGAGTCCTCATTTACATATATGTCTTCTACAATTAAATTTTAGTCAATTAATGAAAATAATGCTTCACCAACTAATACATGAATGGTTAAGATTGACCCTTGAACTGTTATGATTTTTAATAAAAGACTTATTTTTTTTTCTTTTCCCATCCCTAGTAATATTGCGTTTGTAAAGATTAATAAACGTGATCTATAAATTGGAGACCGACGTCAAATTACACATAAATATAGCATAACAGAACTTATTCTAGTTAATAATATTTGGGCAAATAGAAATTTATAAAATTATGCCGCGCCCGTTGTGATCTATACCAGATTGCCTAAATCTAGACCATAGACATCTAGACCGCAGACAAAACTAATTCATAGTTTTCAGAAAAAAAAACCTAATCGGAAAGTGAATGGTTGGTCTGTTGGTAGAAAGTCGGTAATTCTGAACTTTATTAGTTGAAGCACGAAGCGAGTCATGATTATCCTAATGTTACAAAAAATCCTATAAAATTGGTCTACTTTCGAAACCACGCCATTTAGTTGATATAAATATTTTATTGCAACAAACGTGTATGACCTCTTCGGTACCTCAAAAAGGCTGGACGAATCCGAATTAAATTGGGAAAAGAGATAGAATACAGTTTACAATATCGAAGGCCTCTGAATTTTTTTTGACGACGATGTTGTCACAACTAGTAATTTTATATTTTAAGTTACGCGTGCGTTGCATCTTTTAAATAACTATCTAAAGAATCTTTACTGGTCTTGCCCCGGGCCGTAATTCTCTACCTACTATTACAGGTACTGATGGACACTGCGTCAGTGGTCTACGCTGCATAAGGCGGACATACATTTGAATAATATAATTTCTCGTCAAACAATGTGGACATACTTGCATAAGTAATTTTTGCGTTCCAATAATAAACATCAAGAAAATTAACTAACTCACTTCGAAGAGTAACTCATATTGATAAATGTCCACATTTAATCAGATTTTAATGACTTTTCAACTAGTCTTATGTTTATGTGTACAAGTATTTAAAAAGTAAGAAATTTCCCGTATTAATGCGTTATTACTTTAATAAATATTGTCATAGATGTGATGTAAGTCAGAAAAAACCTTGATCAGAATCCATGCATAAGTAAAATTTATTAAAATATGCTTATAATTTCCCCGCACAGCTAAAACATTATATTGACATTAACAGAATAAAGGAGGAGTTGAATAAAAATATGTATAACTATAAGTAACTATAATAATATAATTAAACATATTTTGAACTGGCAATAGAAGTATTATTACCAACAGAACCTTGTAACAAAGATTTATTCTTCTGGGAATAATGCAAATGTTTCACAATTACAAAGCGCAAATCATCTTAGAATTTAATTTATGACATCATTTTTTTGTGCAAAATGTAAAAAAAAAACATCAATGATAACAAACATCAATGAAATCATTAAAATAGTCTTAAATTATTTTAATTTTAATGAAATAATTCATTAGATTAATCTAATGAATTATTTATTTCATCAAGATTGAATATAGTGGGAAAACAAAAGAACAATAAGAACACATACGAGTAACAGATAATAAATACCGACATGCGGTATCTACACGATGTCAACTCGTCAAATGTAATTATGGCATTCAAGATTTCTAAGTCGAAAGATATTTTTATTGCATTATCTCTTTTTACAGTCGCGTGCAACATCTTACCTAGTTTCACCCGAGGTTCATGTAATGTGTGCGTATAAACGAAACGGCGATTTGGGACTGATTTATTATTCGTCAACTGACGGTACATAATATTCGATTACCCACATTACACTACACTATCTCCCCCTTAAATTTTATTCTAAATCAAATGATGGTAGGTTATACAAATACATACATTAAACACAATATAACACAATATATTACAATCATCATCATAGTTTCCTTATCCTACTCCCGTAAGGTCGGCGCAACAGGTTTTTGTCCTCCACATAACTCTATCATATGTCATCTCAGTCATCACTCCCTTTTTGGTTACCTTTTACACAATCCATCCATCTCTTTCTAGGTCTACCTCTACCGATGTACTCTTCCACACTTATAACTAACAATATATTACAATCTCTCACTTAAAAGAATGTCAACAAACATAGCAAATTATCAACAACACTGCACCTCTACAAAAAAAAACTTAGTGTAAAAAATCATAACTATGCAATTGATGCATATATTTTTAAGCGTACACGAATTTAAAATTACCCTATTTACGATTCTCTCACTATCGCCATCTCTGCAGTTTAAAGCTCCGTGAGAAACAATATTTCAGTTTATAACGAGACGGAATACTTTAATTTTAAACTGCTTACTTTCTATTCAATACTTGATACAGTAAACGCCTCGTTATAGAAATCCTAGAAGATCTGTATACCATCGAAGCTCCAAACGGGTATGCTCAGCGATCACAAACTCATTCTAAGGCGAGTAAATATTTATAATTTGCGGTCAAGTATCCACTTATCATTTGTCACTATAGCTGTTTTTAAAGTGCCCATTGTCCAATTAGGTCTTCGTACTCAGCAATTTGCGATGCAAAAAACTCATATTGAAACAACTCGAAGTGGGCAAACGTTGTAGAGTTCGCATGTTTGCAAACAATTAGCGTCGATGAAATAATGTAGAGAGCATTAGCGGAGTGCGTTAAATCGTTTTAAAGACGCACTCGACATAATGTGGACGAGGCAACCGTTAATGCGGTCTACGAGTTTATAAAACAACACCGATGCGAAATTAATGACCATTTAAAAGTCACGATGGTACATTTTTTGTTCGTTTGTTTTGAATTAATGTAGACATAGCGAGGTCTGTGTCTACAGACGGTACGGAATGATGTTAATTGTGTTGATTACTTAGAAATATAACTTAATTCAAGGAATATAACTTCCTACTTATTTCTAGTTGTGGAAATGATAAACTACGAGTATGTTACGTAAAGTAGAAAAGCTGAAACAATTTACAATACATTAAAAGGTTTTTTTGACAACTGTCATGGCTATTGAAAATAAGTCGTCTTAAATAATGGCAAAGAAAAGTGTTTTGGTTCATTAAAGGTTCAATTAAAAATTTAATGAAGTGCCAGTAACGAACATGGTGCGTTGAAACGATGTTATTTAAACAGATACTTGAGAATACGCTTCGAGGATCAGATTACGTAGTTAACGGTCTGCGAACGACCAAATATAGTGACCGTGGAAAGTTGACGTGTTGACAGGAAAATTTATTGCATTGTCGCGTATTTATCAAGATGTTTTAAATCACTTCCAGGAGTTT